GCACAACTGTCTCTCACATAGCAACGAAATCTTTTCATCAAAGTTATATGGATTTAGTAGGATTAGTAACGATTATAAATTCAATAATATTAGCTAGGTTTCAGAAAACAAAGATCTAAACTTCATAGTTTAGATCCTCTCTTTTGTTTTACCTAACATTACGTTCTCTTTATGCTCTTCACTTCTCGTAAATACTATATATAAAAACTGTTGGTTTTGTCTTATTACTACACCTATCACACAGCGAAAGTCGTATTGCTAATAACATATTTTATTTTTCATTTAAATTTGGTATATACACTCGTATTTCATACTGAACTAGATCGTGAACTTAATTAATTTCTAGTTCAGCACTTTATTGTTTTTTCCAATGCATATTGGTCAGATTATATCAGTTAGTTAGTTAGTTGGTTATTATAAATTATTTATATATCTCTCTCCAACTTTACTAGTTTTCTGTAACAAGTACTGAACTTCGCACAATGGGCCATCTTGAGCTCAAGTGGGTTTTGGGAACGGGACCGCACTCCAACCTTCTAACTTCATAAAATATTGATTCTGAATATTGGTATCGTTCTATTAAGAATACGAAGTGTGTCCAATATTCGTATTTTAGGACCAGAAATGACAAGTATTTAGTGGTGTCTAGATAATTAGAAAAATAAGTATTATTATAATTTTTAATTTTATAAAATAATAAAATATGGATGCAACAGTAATTTGAAGTGTATAATTAAGTTATTCACCACGGACCAAATAGGACTCGTGTGTCGCAGTAGAGAACTACTATCCTACTTACAAATAATATTATAACGTTGATCGCAAAGAAATGCTAGTTCTATTGTGCTAATTGTAAGTATAAGTTAAAGTATGTAAAAGTTATTATTATTTTTTAATATGAAAACTATATAAAGTATTATTGCTTTGCATTACTAATATTTGAAAAGAGACAGTAAAAATGAAAACGCTGAGAAAAAGGGAACCAAATGGTCGTTGTTCATGAATGTCGCCAGAAACTCGGTTAGGGCGGTATCGTTTTAAGTTGAAGATTTCTTATTATTCTTTAAGAGTATGGATATAGTGCTTTATTACAATAAATAATTAGTTTTCCTAGTACAACCATTTGTAGTTCTTTGTTTATCATTAATTGTTTATTCTCTATTTTATAATTTTTTTTTTTTTATTTTTCTCCATTTATTTACAATAACAGGCGTTTTTAATCAAATTTTCACGGTCTCTTGAGTTTTCATCTAAAATGAAATTATTTCATCTTTCTGCGAAATTTAGGAAAAGCGTAAATTATTATTTATTTCATAGTTTTCATATACTCGTAATATTTAGATTGGATTTTTACTTTCTCTTGTCAACAGAAATTGATAAATGAAAATATGATTTTATTAATTCATATAACGTATACAACGCAAAAAACGCAAACAACGCAAGTACGCAAACAACGTATCCAAGAGATTGAAAAGACAGACATTTCCAATAGAAAAATCGTTCGATGTGTAGTAACACTCTTAAACTAGTTAGGTGCCTCCTTCGGATATGTCAATGGAAAATATATTTAAAAAAATGTATAACAAATTGTAAACGTGTTAATATATGTAATGATTTACGATAAGGATTTGCAGTTGAGCATATGAAAATCAAAACTGAAACGAGTAATTAATTTTAAATGAAGTTTTGAGATTTTATCTCAGCCATATTACAACTATTTTTCTTGTGTAGCAGTTTATTACGCGAGGCAACAAACTTATTTTTAGATGAAATATAAAATAAATTTAAATAAAAAAAAAATTGTAAAAAACTTAGATAAACTTTAATACAATCTCAGTATTCATGCTCTTTTTATAGTTATATTACAAAAATCATTTATTATTATTATAATATATTCTAATAACTACTAATAAATCCTACATATAAGAATTGTTTTTTTCACAGTCACTTATAAATTCATTTTGCTATTGTATTCAATACTATATTCAAAATATTTTTTGGTTCAAGAAACAAATCCATTTTCAACATATGCCTTGTATTCCAGCACCAAAGAAAAGTCTTGAAAATAAGTTTTGGTCAAAAAATTTTTAAACAGAACGTTTTTATTTCATTATATACTTCAACTAAAAATGTTTTTGGTCCAACGAATTTCGATAGCGCTCGCCATTTACCATAACGACAGCTCCTTTCTTATTTCGAAAGAAATAAGGACCGAAGATGCCGCTAGCGTGTCAACCGCACCAAACAGTCAATTTAAATGGATGTTATGGTGATGTGTTAACGATTTGTGGATTATCTGTGCTCCATGTACAGCAATTTTGCTTATGGACGTATGATGACCGTAAAATGAATGAAGTGCTCACAGAACTTCGCGAATAGATTTATTTTATTCAAAGTAAAGTACATATGCTCTACCATAAGAACCTTCTGCATCGTAGAGTTTAGCGCCCTATAGTTTTCAACACAATTAGTGTTAAGTGATGTTGCAACCCCAAATTCATAGCAAGTTTTTTTTGTTACTAACATTTTGTAATTACAATATTATAGTATTCAATATTTAACTATTTTTTTATATAATACTCAAATGATTTCACCGCAAAATATAAAGTAGCCATATTTTGCGAGTGCAACTTATTATTACTAAAGTTATAAGTTGCAGCTACTAAGAAATTAATATTAGATATTAAATATAAAGCATTAATTAAATAAAGTTAAGATTTCTGTAAAACATTGCTTCAATCATTCTATTCCATCTAAGCATGCTTTAAGTATTCTCATATGCTAAGTAGCATAGTCTACTTCCCAGTAAATTTGCGTATCATGAAATTACCATCCTTCACTTAGCCAGCTGAATCATGTGAATGCATACTTCAATTAAATTTCTATTAAAACCTCAGTTAAATGAAATGAATTGCAATTATGAATTTCACAATGCCAGGAAAAAAAACCGCCACGGCAAGGAAAAGTGTAAAATCACCATTGGAACAGCGGAATGTGGCAGGCTGCATTTAAGGTACGAAGCTGTGCTTAGAAGTGGTATTTGCATCATTTGGCTCAACTGGAAGTAGAGCTAGTCAAGTTGACTTCACTGGCATGTAATTAAATGCGTTTCTTTTCCTTT